AAAATTACTCTGTAGTTTGTGCATTGAAGTTTTGAACATTTCTTGTGTGTATTGGTTATTAGTGATGTTTCCCATTCTGCTGGGATTGTCTCTACTTGTCAGATTTCAGATATAAGTTTGTGTTTCTGAGTGTCTAGCCTCTTCCTCCATATTTAATAAGTTCTAATGTGATTTTTTCAAAGAGTTGATTACTTTTGTAGTTTCTTCCAACGGCGGGGAGTTTATGAAAAAGTCCGGTCCTCTTATACTTATTTTAAGTCTTATAAATCTCTTTATTATTTAAATTATATTTCAATGATTTGATTTTAAGTTACCCCATTGGGATTTATTACCCAAAAGACAAAAGAATTGGTTTCATATTTGGTATTATTGTAAATCCACCACTGCAAATGGGACTTGGATAATTTTCGTGTGTTTGCGCTTCATTTTTTCCTTGCTGAGATGCATAGTTGGCTTAAAATGTGGCTCTGTGTACTGTCAACATAGGGAAACATGGCTGTCTATACAATGTCCATAGATGGTGATAGTTCAAACATAGCTGTCTATGCAATGTCCATAGATGGTGATAGTTCAAACATGGCTGTCTATGCAATGTCCATAGATAGTGAAAGTTCAAACATGGCTGTCTATACAATGTCCATAGATAGTGATAGTTCAAACATGGCTGTCTATACAATGTCCATAGATAGTGATAGTTCAAACATGGTTGTCTATGCAATGTCCATAGATAGTGATAGTTCAAACATGGCTGTCTATACAATGTCCATAGATAGTGATAGTTCAAACATGGCTGTCTATACAATGTCCATAGATAGTGATAGTTCAAACATGGCTGTCTATGCAGTGTCCATAGATAGTGATAGTTCAAACATGGCGTCTATGCAGTGTCCATAGATAGTGATAGTTCAAACATGGCTGTCTATGCAATGTCCATAGATAGTGATAGTTCAAACATGGCTGTCTATACAAAGTCCATAGATGGTGATAGTTCAAACATGGCTGTCTATACAATGTCCATAAATGGTGATAGTTCAAACATGGCTTTCTGTACAATGTCCATAGATAGTGATAGTTCAAACATGGCTGTCTATACAATGTCCATAGATGGTGATAGTTCAAACATGGCTGTCTATACAATGTCCATAGATAGTGATAGTTCAAACATGGCTGTCTATACAATGTCCATAGATAGTGTTAGTTCAAACATGGCTGTCTATACAATGTCCATAGATGGTGATAGTTCAAACATGGCTGCCTATGCAATGTCCGTAGATTAGTGATAGTTCAAACATAGCTGCCTATGCAATGTCCATAGATGGTGATAGTTCAGACATAGCTGTATATGCAATGTCCATAGATAGTGATAATTCCTCGTAGTACGCCTGGGTCCCTTGAGCCCAATGGGCTAAACAGGCCTGCACAACCCAAAATGTAAGGCGGGCCGTAATAATTTATGAAAAACTTGTGCTGGCCAAAAGAAAAAATGACAGGACTTGTGCGAGCCAAAAGAACATAGGACGGGTGGAAATCTATTAAGAAAATAACAAGAATAAAGAATATTTCGTTACTACACGGGCTGAAAGTGCGTGTTGGCGGGCCGCAAGTGGCCCGCGAGCCTTATTTTGTGCAGGCATGGGCTGAAGGGTTAAACATGTAGTACGATGATAATAATAATTAACGCAAAAATCAAACTACCCCTTCTATGTTTGTCTTAATGCATTTTTTTAAGCCATAATTGACAGACCGCTTCTTTAGCTATTTGCCTTTGATCCTAACATAAAAGTTTGGGCACCTTCAGCCCACTCGATGCCCCCTTCAGAGACGCCCCTCCCCCACTTCTACTCAGGAGCCTTTGGCACCCTTGATTTCCGGAGGATTGTTCCATTTCGCCAGCGCCGATTCGCTGTCGCCATTTCGCCCCACAGTTACACCTCCGAGAAGTTTCGAAGCCGAGCGTGTCGCCGACGCCCATTTCACCGACAAAGATTTAGAAATTATTTAAAAACAATAATATTGTTTTAGAAGTGATTAAAATGATGTTTACATTCAAGGACATGTAGGCGGCCTACAGTAGATCTTACAAACACCGATGTTTTCGAAACCTTGTAATCCGAACTCCCTGGGTCATTTTATAAATTATTACTATTATCATATGCAGTGCGCATGACATGTAAAACAAAAACCAGAAAATAATTCCTACCCGTGTCGCACCATTCATTCTCTCATGTATAGAGAGGGCTGGATAACGACAAGTTCTATCGGTCTTGGAAGTTTCATGCCGCCATCGAATGCACTCTGCAAAGAATGTGGCATGGACATCTCAGGCGGTCGCTGTTGATTTTCCACTCGTGATCAGTGAGCCGCATATGAGTGAACTATGCATGACTGGCAGCAGCATTGATTGGTTGCGAAGATCTAGATAATAATTGCACATCGTCTTCCGCTGTAAAATCTACAGCGTACACATTCAAACACGATGTAATAACATGGAAAGTCCTATTTTTTTTTTTAACAATTACATATGACCATTCTGCTTACATAAACAGACATCCGCTATAAATGTAAATTATTAAAAAATAAGACATTTTACCAATTTAAATGTATGTCCAAAAATCTATTCAAAGAAACAAATCGGTAAATGGTTTTTAAATGACGTTTAATCATTATCAATGTCGCTCAAAGATTGAGGCAAACTGTTCCACAGTTTAGGCGCAACAGCGTCAAAATATATAGCGCACCTGTTATGACTTCTTTCTGTGACACTAGGAACTGTCATTAAGGATTGTGTTGAAGAGCGCAGGTTCAGACAGTCTGAAACAATCTTGGTTGGGATGGGGTCAACAATGGAAGAGCTGTTCTTAGGCATAGGCAAACTAGACGACCACCTAGGTCCCCTCTGCCAATGGGGCCCCGCTGCGCGCTTTGTCTTTTTAGCCTACAACTTGCAAGTCCATATATTTTAGAAGCACAAATTTTCTCTAGTGGCGGAATTATCAATAGGGTTAGTGGTTACACGCGAGCAAAGAGGAAACAATGACCAGGGAAGAATGGAGGTGCCGCAGTGGTGGGTGGTGACCACCCCTCCGCTGACCCCTCCACCCTTTTCGGGGCAGCCTACCTACGCTCCATGCCTCGGGCTCCCAAAATCCCAAGAACGGCTCTGATGTAGGTTTAGATGCCATGATGATATGTCTCAAATGTTTTGGGGAAACTGGAAAGAATTCCTCTAGAGCAGGCCTGCACAACTCAAAATGTAAGGCGGGCCGTAATACTAACAGACTTAATGAAAAACTTGTGTGCGGCCGTACAACATTATAAAAAACGTGTGCGGGCCGAAAGATATTAGGACGGGAGGGGGGTAGGCAGACCTTAATCATCTAGGGTTTGAGGCCCCTCAGCTGCCCTCAACTGGTTTAGCTGGTTAGTGGAAGCTGTTGCCCAGGGTATGGCCGCTGTTGCATGCTAACAACTATAGGGAGCCACAGGTGAGAGTTGAGTGATAGGAGAGGGAGAGAACCAAGGCCGACAATCTGCTCCTAGGGGCACAATATGTTCCCCCATCAGGGGTACTACCTCTTCCTGTACACTTCATTATAGAAAGGAAAAGGGGGGAAACCTACAAAGAAAATAACATTTTGTTACTTCGCGGGCCATCAAGTGGTTGCTGGAGGGTTGCATGCGGGCCGTATGCTGTGCAGGCCTGCTCTAGAGGGTTGACTTCAAAAACATTCTCCACTGCAGACAAATCACAACGTTCACCAAAGCTCTTTCCATTTCAATTTTGTCAGTGAAGAGAAGAACTTGATCAATTTCAATGCAGCTTGATCGGTAATGCGTCGCGTAGTAAGGGGTCGTTCGCAAATTACGTCACGCTCAAAAAAAAAAAGGGGGGGGGGGCGGGGGAAGTCGGCAAAAAACTGTAAAGGAACACTTTAAAAAAAAAAGAAAAAAGTATAAATTTTAAAAAAAAA